TATTAATTTATAAAATAAGTGTTTATACCATAAATTGCAAAAATTTAAGATCATGTCACGTGTCAAAAATTTTTAAATGGATGTAGGTGATTTAGTCATGTTAAAATTATAATTCTGAATCCCACAATAGATCAGCTACCATATAGGAAAGGAGGTAAAAAATAAGATTTTATCTTTTAGTTGCTTTTTTAAGGTAAATTGGATCTATTTTAACTGAAATTTAGAAGGTGGTTTCAGTTATAAGAAAATGGGATATATGGCGAAATTTAAGAGGAAAGTTGACTCTGTCAATTAGTGAGGTGTCTCACTTCCTTAATAAGCTGTTCACAATTTGTATAACTACAGAAAGTGGGAGGTTTATAGTTGGAGAAGAGGAGAACAAAAGAGAAATTTTTTATTATTCAACACATGACGAGCCTTACATAGCCTGACAGATTTTCAGACTTTCAATTTCTATGCTTTTGCTTATAGATTTCGGATTTTAGTACAATTCCCAATAGATTTAGGTTGTTTTTCATCATTCTAGTAGTTAAAATAGTTTAAGCATTTGTTTTAGAAATCTCGTTTCATGTAATGAACATCAAGTTTTGAATTTTTGTAAGGTATTGTTCCTTTTCTGACTAGAATTAATTTGATGTTTATAATAAGTAATGTTTCTTGAAATGATTATTTATATGACATTCATGCTTCTTCTCAATATCAAGCATGTTAATTTAATTCATGTTCGTATTTATTTTAGTGTTATTTAGGATTAAATCTTCAATTCTGTAGTAGTTCAATTTCCAAATCCGTCTGTAGATAACAATTCAATTTGACAATGAATATGTTTAATTTAATTTGGATACATTTTATTCTTTTAAGTTTACTTTAAATTGCAGACCATTTAATTTAATTAGGATTTGTTAACTTTGATTCATGATAGTATTTAAGTCCTTGAAGTTGCCCAAAAAAATAGATTCAGTAACTCATTTTACAGGAAGACATCCTTCCCTCTTATAAATCATTTGTAGGCACATATTTTAGTTTTAAACCAATGTTCTTTTAACCATTTGCAAGGAAGTCGACTATAAAAAAGGAGAGCATAATTGAAATTTTTTTTTTTTACTTTCAAAAAAATAAGTGGTATATCCATACCCAAATTTTACATGTGTGAGAGCATTTGAGAATTTTTGAGAAAATAATAAGATAAAAATTAAAAAAAAAAACTCTTAATATAAAGAAATTCATTTTGAATTGACAACCCACCGCACCTCTGGTAGAGAAAAACCACACCGCACCGCTAGTAAAGACATCGACGAATTAATAAATGTTAAATACTCATTTTGATCCTTTTTACTTTGATAAAAAAATCTCCTATTTAGTTATTTTATTTTATTTTATTTTATTTTTAAAATTTAAAATTTAGTTTATGTCTAATTTTTTTGTTCAATTTTATATACATGATATACTAAATGATAAAAATTTTAAAATAAAAAGATAAAAATAACTTAAAAAGACCTAAAATAACTTCAATTTGATCCCTATTTAAAAAAAAAACTCTTTTTTAATCTCTCCTTTAACATATTTGTCATTTACTGTTAAAATTTAATAAAAAAATCAAAAATCAAAAATTAAAAATTAAAAAAAGATTTTTTCAAATAAAGGGAATAAAAAAGAACATTTTACTAAAACAGAGAGAGCAAATTAAAGTTTTAACCATTAATAAACCACAACCAACCCCACCTCGGGTAGAGAAACGCTACTCCCCGAAAACCGAAAACAGAAAACAGAAAAGATCGGTTAAAAAAAGCGTTAATTGCGCAACTCGACAAAAGAAAAAGTAGAAGACAAACCACTCTCAATAGGTTAAACATGCAAGTAACCTTTATCTTTTTAAGAGGTGACACATTACCCCCTCAAATCAATTCACGTGTAAATTCACCCTTAAACTTATCATCGGTGACAAAATAACCCTTGTGTACGATTACGTCAGCAATCCTTCCAAGACTAACGATAGGCTGATTTGTCGGGACTCAACTTGCAGGGTGGAATTTTTTGTTGACATATCACTCATTCTCCATCACCTAATCAAATTTAAATTAAAAATAATAATTAAAAAAATTTTAAATTAACTTTTAAAACTTTTTTTTGAATAAATTCGCAAGAAGTTGGATTCAAACCGTTGCTCTAAAAATAAAAGAATGCACATATATGTGAGCTCACGTTACTGGACTCAGAAACCCAAGTGCAACTTTTAAAACTTTTTAAATTTACAAACCAAATAAGAATTTATATTGATTTGATGTCCAGAGTAGCCAAAGGATAAATACACCTAATAAAAAGCATTAATATTATCATAAAAAGAAAAATAACACAAATCTAAATAATAATAGAATTTTTAATAATCAATCTTGAATATCATTTAACAAAAAAAATTAAAAACCTCATTAAAATTGAAAAAAAATTATTAAAACCTAAAAAATTGAACCACAGCTTGAATTAACGAAATAATAACATATTCTTCAAGTTTTCTAACCACAAAAAAAAAAAAAAAATCCCAACCAATGGTAAGGAATTGAAGAAGAAAGTAATAGTAAATGCCATTAGCTTACATGACTTAATCAAATATGAAATTAACACTTCTTTTTAATTTGTAAAGAAAAAAAATTTTATTAAAGAGCTACAAGAAGACTTGAACTCTTTATATTTTTGTTTAGAGATAGAAAATAATCTGTGCACCTAAACTTAACGTAGTCACATATAGGCAATTCATCCAATAATTAATTGACACAACTTAAAAAGATTTAACTTACTTGTTCTTGATTCAATAAAATTAAAAAATTTGGCATAAATCATCAACAAGAGCAAATGAGAGCATATATTAATAAAATTAATTATTAATTTCTACAAATTTGTAAAGAATATATAACTTGAGTATGTAAAATTGAAAGAGAAACAAAAAAACATCAAGCAAAAAACATCAAGTGAAGGCTTGATTCTTTTTTTTTTTTTTTTGATTATAATTAATCTTCATTATTTCCTCTCTTCGAGCTTAACCCATTTCAAATTTAGGGCATGTTTGGTTTGATTTATGAGAGTTTTTATTTTTTGAGTATTGTTATCAGTGATAAGTTTAAATTTTTATTGAAAGAAAAATTAAAAATTTACTTTTAGAGATAGGAAAAAGTGAGTGAAAAATAAATAAAAAGAGAGTTTATGACAAGTTTAAATTTGAAACTTTTGATTTGAAATTTTTGAGTTTTTACTGTTTGAGATCTTTTTAAAATTAAAAAAAATTTTAAAAAAAAAATTTTAAAAAGAAATTTAAACTTATGAAATATAAATAATATCAAAAAGTTGAAGCTCCTAAGAGTTTCACCAAACAGGATCTTAGAAGTTGCAAAGCTTTTTTTTTTTTTTTTTTTAAGTAAAATTGGAAGTTGCAAAGCTTCTAAACAGAAAAGATGGAAATAATGGGTGAAGCGAAAATGGCTGACCGGCGAGCAAGGAAAAAAAAATGAAGAGTTTCTAATTAAAAAAATAAAAAAACATAAAAAATATTTTTTATATAATTAATTAATTTAATACCAATTTTTTTAATAATTTCTTAACATCTAACATGTCAAAACTAGTCCAGCTCTTCGTCACATCATCTCAGGATCCCACCAAATGCAGCCCATCGTTACTATCGTATGGAATGCTTGCGTAATCCGTTAGACAAGGGCTATTTTGCCACCAACCATAAGTTTGACGTTGAGTTTTGCGCACGAATTCGGTTGAGGGGTAATTTGCCACCGCTTGAAAAGATGAGGGTTACTCTGCATGGGCCCACGTAGCCCAAAATACATATTTAGAACCGGTGGGCCCCCAAATACTTATTTAGGCCGGTAAGCCCCACCCTCCAAAATCACATATTTCAAACCGGTGGGCCCCCCCCCACCGAATACAGCGGGTGGGCTATCTAACCCCGTCAAATCATATATTTAGAACCGGTGAACCCCCAACCCCGTCAAATCACATATTATGGGACCACCCAACCCATATTTTTTTTTGGGGGACCACCGCAGACTCAAATTACATATCTTGGGACTACCGCAGACTCAAATCACATATTTTGGGAGCACCGCAAACTCAAATCATATATTTTTCGAGCACCGCAAACTCAAATCACATATTTTGCGAGCACCGCAAACTCAAATCGCATATTTTGCGAGCGCAAACTCAAATCACATATTTTGCGAGCACCGCAAACTCAAATCACATATTTTGGGACCGTCATGAAGTATTTGTCTGAACGATTTAATAGATCAAACAATCCAAACGTACCTGTAGATCACAGGTTTAGAAACGAAAGGCAGACGGCAGGAATATGGAAAACCTATGGAGGCGATTGCTCAGGAAAAAAAATCCCTGTAAACGGGATTGCCCGGCAAGACGAAGGATCGGAGTGGGGGGAAGTCTGGTTCGAATTTTATATTGATTGATCCTGTCTTAAAATCTTTCTATCTCTTCAGCTAGGGTTCTTTTTCCTTCCATTTATCTTTTCTATTTCTATAACCAGCAACTAACCCAAAGGTCATACAAGCTTACCGATCCAGGTAAGACTCAGAAAACAGATAGATCTCCATATTTAAAGAGAGAGGGAAGTCGTGCGCGATCAAGTTGGACGGAACTGGTACTTGGACATGGCTTGGGGTACAGCTTCCTTTACCAGATCCACTGCTGGATCTGTTGATAGATGGAAGTCAACACTGGTAAATACATATTATTATTGTGATGTTTATTTTTTTATTGTTACTTTCATTGTTATCGTTGTCTTGCCCCTTTTTTGGGGTAAATTTTAGTTTTAGTTTTTGGATTTTAATTTTTTGTTTTCATTTTTATACATTTTATAATTATAAAAAATCAAAATTAAAAGTTTGTTTAAAGTGAATTTTAACATTAATAATAAAAAAATAAATTTAAATAATAATATTAAAATTATTTTTGTTCGTATTTTTTTCGTTTAGAGTTTGTAAAATTTATAACAATTAAAATCAAAAATCAAAAACAAAAAACCACACCAAAATTAAACTTAGCAAGAATGTAGGTAAAGATTTTGAATTTTCAGCACAAAAAGTGAAACAGCAATATGATCAATTACAAATGGAGAAAACATCAGAAAAATATTATTACAAATGGAAAAAAAGTGAATACTGTTAAAATAATAAATTTTAAAGATTTGGTGATAATTTTTGTTTTTATTTATTTTATTATTAAAAAATGAAAAAAAATTTATGATAGAATAAATAATTGAAGTTGATATGTAATGATAAAGCTGAAGGGGCTATCTGGTATAATGATATAGGATAGTAATTAGTAATTTTATTCAAATCGATGCATAAAAGTATTTAGTAATTTTTTTTCCCACAAATTGTTGCATATTTTTAGTGTTTGGTAAAAGTTTTAATCTAGCAGATTCGTGGTAGCGGGTAGTGCTCAAAGCCCAATCTACTAGCCAATTTAGTAGCGAATTGAAAAAACTCCTGAAAGTAGTTTCTCGCCTATATTGCTAGGTAAGTTTAACCAAAAAATAATTGGATATATAATTCAAGGTCACTAATTACTAGCTAAGTTTATCATTATTTAAAAATTGCTAATTTCTACTCTTTTTCATTAACATTATTCAATTTTAATGATTATTAGCCTTTTTTTATGATAATGTTCAATTTTAACATTAATTTGTTTATTTTTATTTTTTCTTATTTAATTCGTAGTTAATTTTTTATTTAATAAAAATATACTAAGCCACTATGATAAATTAATTAATTAATAAAGAAGTTTGTAATTTTAACCTTATATTTACAATTAAAAAATAACAAAGGAATGTTTTATTTGTAAATGTATAATAATAATAACGATAATAATGTAATTGGCTTGTTTTAAGAACTTAAAAAAAATTTTCATTTTTAATTTTGTCTTTATTTATCATTAGACATTGAACAGTGATAACTAAGTATTATTTAACTAAACAATTATTAAAATTAAACTTTTCTACTCGCTATTCTAATCACTAGTTTTAAATAGATATATTAAATAGTCCCAAAATAGGAAAAAAACTTTCAATCTTCTCTAAAATATAAAAAATTATTATCATTTTGAAGTAAATTTTAAATAAAAAATATATTATTTTAAAATGAAAGGAGTAATATGATTTATGCTGGTTATACCAAAATTTTTTTATTTGTAGACCGAACCAAAACCACAAAAAGGAAGAGCGAAAAATGAGGTGAGGCTGTTTTTTTTTTTTTTTTTTAATAAAATAAAAGCCTAACAAAAATTGAAAGTTCTATTTTAGTCCTCTGATTTGCTTTCTTAAATTGTTGTCAAAATCGTGATCTCATTAAATCCTGAGATCGTACTTCGGTTAGCGGCCACACCAACGGCAGCTCCATTAGGTGATTCAAAATCCACTAAATTATCAAATAGCATCCTAAACTTCCATATTTCTTTTTTTTTTTTCTTTGATTATATTTAATAAATTTACAATGTTTCTTAAACTTTTTTGACAATTATTTTGAATAAATTTTATTTTAACAAATATATTTTTCTCCCTTCACTTTTTCTAATATTTTGTAATAATAATTTCATTTGGATTTAGAAATAAAAGAGCATAAATTTCTCTATGATTAACATACATAATTTTAGTTTTCTACATTGGAGTTTTAATTTTATTGACAAGTCATTTATTTCATTTTTATGTTTAAATTTTGGGTTACACAATAAAATGTAATATTCTCTTATCTCTCTACCCACCTCACTCAATGCCTATGATTTGAACTTAGGAACTCCTGCCTCGCTTGAAGAAAATACTATCACTAGACTTCTCAAGTTAGCTGAAATTCAATTTTAGCATAGACAATTCTAGATAGCACTTCACAGTTCACATCCTTTTTTTGACTCTGCCCACCAGATTTCTTCTTCAAGTAGGGAGTAACATTCGTCCGTGTGACTTGTAGAAATCTCAATCAGTCACCAAAATTCACCATTTGAACAATTTGCAAGGGAGAAGGGATCTGAAACGTTGGCTCAAATCAAACGGATTAAACATTTTAAATTATAATAACAATAATTATCAGTAATCAAATATCAATTATTAGTTATCAATTGTACTTAAACAACTAATCCAAACCGCCCAAAAAATTTTGAAAAAATAAAGCTATTTGTTTTAACTTTTTAGAAACATCAATTAACTTTTGGCTCCAAACGGATTAGATATTTTAAATTATAAACAATAATATTTATCAACCATTAAATATTAATTATTGACTATCTACCATATTTAAACATTTAATCCAAACAGCCCCATGTTTGTGGCAAATGGAAATGAATCAAGTAATTTTCATTTTGAGATAAAATATTCATTTATAATATTTAGTCCCTTAACATTTATAAATTTAAAAAGTCTCTCATAATATTTTTTTATTGCAATTAACTACCAAAACTTTAAAAAATTATATATAAAGATTTATTTTAATAAATTATTTTTTTTCCACAAATCAAAATTAAAAATAAAAAATAAAGAAAATAAATAAATATAAAACTATTCAAAATAATTTTATTAAAATGGAAATCCTAAATTTGAGTCTAAAACTACATGGTAGAAAACTTGACTATCATGTGCCAATCCTTCCCATTTAGCCTACACAAATATGAAGTGTTTGTCATCATAATATTGTATTAGGTTGTACTTCTTATTTCAAAATGTAGTTTGCTTTGATATTGGAACCCATACAGATATTTGTCTCATCAAGTGCTCCAATACAATCCTATGCAATTTAAAATTATTTACATTAAATCACAGTTTAACGGTTAACAATTTAAATAAATCAATTACATTTCATAAATAAATTAATATACACTTCATTTGTTCTAGCAAATCTCCTCGACTATTCATGAGACTTTGAACCAGAAACCTACTCCTAGGAAATGGAGAAGCGAATGCAAATCAGAAATGGTTTCTATAGATCGTTATTCTCTTACTTTCCTTGGTTCTTAAAACTGGAGACCTAAAGATGAATAAGCAAAGATGATACAACATACTTGGGTGACCCAGAATCAAACCTAGAAGTTACGGCACATGCAAGAATTGAATGCCAGATGGCCAAAGTCCTGACTTAGTTATCAATTGATAACCAAAAAAAAAAAAAAAATGAAAAAAAAAAAGGATATAACTCCAAATTAGTATAGGTGAAACACGATACGCACGAGTCGAAATTTCATACGCATCAAAATTACCCGTCAATCATTACAAATAAAACTATTCAAACAAAACTAAGAAAATAGAAGTATAAACATTGACAGTGAGCCAGGAGCTGAGTCTGTAACGGGTGTGGGCCTCTACCTATCATGGACCAACCATTATGATGCACCGTAAAGATAATAAGAGGTGAAATTACATACTTGGAAATAAATTGTTCAGCAATCCATTACTTCAACAAACACTATTGAAATATTTTCTCGAGAACTGAGACAAAAAAGAAATATTCTGAAGCAATAAAAGGAAAATTTTGTTCTGAGGAAATTTCAGAGTAGCAGCAAAATTCTTGTTGATGAGCTACAAGATGGCATAAATGAAAAGCAAGAGGCAGAAAGCCAGTAACTCAACAGTTAAGAGAGACAGGATGAAACAAACTATTACCTTCCAAGATGAATCTTGATGGACCTTATAGTAATGGGCAACTTTCTTCTGAACTCTCACCTCCATATCCTCCTTATTCTGCAGCTTTCTGACATTTGGAAGAGAATTTTTTAGTTCTAAAATGATACTAAGAAAAGGAAGCCAAAAGTTCTTTGTAAATAGAAAGAAATAGAAATCATGTACGCAAAATCAATGAACCACTCAACAAGTTTATCAATTGAAAAAAAAAAAAAGTAACTCAGAGCAAAGCTGGTGGTTTCTGCAACACCAGCATTTATTAACATGAGCCAATTTCTAGTGGACACATTTGTGATCATAAATTATAGAATTCTGTTTCAAGAGTGCTAGCAAAACAATAGGCTTCTAATTTCCAAAACTTAATCACTCTACCAACTAATACCAAGTTGGACTATATATATGCCAAAATGTGAAACTTCAAAAAAATTGAAGCACCAGTAAATGGGCATTTCTTGTCAATATAAGTTCCTAAAAGGGGATGAAAGCACTCACCATAAATTTGTTGAGGACCAGGTGACATCCTGTTTATACGGCAGTATTGAAAAGAACGTGATCAGAAGGGTAAGAGTATCCTTGTTCATAAAAGAATAATAAATAGTAAATGAAACAAGTAAGCTGGTACAGATATATTATGATTCATTTCGCCACGACTTGGCCTGCTGTACCGCGTTTTCAACAATTAGATGACATTATAAACTGAATGTTTTTTTCTTTTTTCTTTTTTTTCTTTTTTTGGTCAACAAAACATATATATCTATTTATATCAAACCAATGGAACTTTGCTTACAGAGATGACAGAGTCACCAATAAAAAACTAACAGAACATAAACATATAACAGCAAATTGGACTAGAACATAAACACTTAATACTAATAAGAGTAAACTTTGGTCAAAGATAGAGCTTGCCAAAGCAGTGGTAATCAGAGGAGGAAAATGGTTCCATCTCTGAAGGAAGATCTCACTTGTAGTTTGGTCTATATTCCCTTGGGAGCTTTGAAGTTGAGCAGATTCAGGAAAATTACAGCAGCAATGATGAACCAAATGCTTCAGCAACCTACCTGAACCAACTGTCCCAATACATGGAACCAGAAAAGAGAGCAAGAACCATGAGTGAGGATTGAAAGAGAGATCTGAAGTGACATAACACCAGCCTCTGACAGTGCTTGGTTTTGCCAATTGGTTTGCTTGGTTGGTATATAATACCTGTGATAGATAAAAGACCAGAAGCTTCTCCTACATACTCATCCCATACAGACAAAGCAATCCATACTATCCTTCCAAAGTGCACTTCAACACCCCAACCCATTCTATCCCCAAGCCAACAAAACGTACTACTAGAACTTGAGTATAATGATGTTACGTCCCAGACCTGCAAACTTAGCCAAAAGGTAAGGTTTGAGCTATAACTTTTAGATTAACTCCATTTTAAATAGTTGCAGACATGCTTTCTAGAGAAGATACTTTGAATATTTACACAAGTCCTTGGGCAGTTCGTGTATACACTTATTTATACAGCAAACTCTGTCATAATAAACTAGATTAAGAATCAGCTCTTTATAACTTGATGCTCCTTTTGGTAAACAAAACATATTCTAATAATGCAAAGTTCTTTTACAAAACATTGAGTCAGGATTCAGCTTTGGGCAGATACGAGTTATCTTGACAAGCCTGAAAAGCTTGTTCACTACCAGCAACCATAGGAAACTCTTAGTCTCCCAAAAACTGTGGATCTCTTCACTAGCCAAACTGAAACAGGGTGAACAGTACACCATGAGCTACGAAGCCCAATAAGCATAGGTTATAACTTAAGAGCCATAATTGAAATCTTAATTTAACTTATTAAGTTCCATCAATTAACTTACATTATTCTTCCACATAAAACTTATGTGAAGATACAAGAATTAGACATAGACAAATCATCATCTTGAAAACAATCCACATTCTCTAAATAAGAATAATCTTATTTAGAACAGCTAAGTTCAATCCAAGCACATGCTTACTTGGTCTCCATTCTAAACCAAACTAGAAAATATGTTCCTTTACCTCAGGAAGCACAGAATCAGTTCCCTCAAACGTTGCTCACCACTACTCAACAGTTTCATCAATGCCATAAATAAACATGACAAATACTTTCAATAAACATAAGATAATAGCAAGGGAGCCTTATGCTTGTTCAACATGCAGATGAATGCAAGTTCTTATCTATGGATTTTTCCTTGTAGGTGTACATCCCACCATACCAATGGTCCAACCAGTGGCTCTTCCTACTGTGCAGTGGATCTAGATGTCTTTCTTCACATTCCTAGTCCAATTGGGTTCTACCAAGCTCAGTAGCTGAGGTATCTTTTTATATATCTTCTTTCTTTACTCTAAATACATTAGGAGCATCATTCTTTTACTCCAGGTAACTTTAGGAGTTTCTTACCTAGCCATTAGCTTAGGTATCATACCATAGATTTTATGTAGCATGTACAATAATGCATTCTCATGTCATAAATCGTTTCACATTCTTTAGGTCATATAAATAGCACCCTATGCACTGTCATGCTTGTGCTTTAGTTATAGCAAGACAAGTTAATATTAAATCACAGCAGAATAGCACAGTAGCTTGCATCAAATAAAACTTTCAAAAGCCATATCTACATGTCCAACATATAGTCTCAACTTTAATCCAGCGCTGACTTATAGCCTAGACATGGCTAAACAATTAAACTCAACCTGCATATTAAATGATCTATTTAGCACCTTTCCTGGTTCATAGATTCTTAGAACTTCAAGCTTATTTCATGAACATAACAAATTATATATGGCTCAGACACAGCAACTAATCATAAACTAACTCATAATTTCAATTGCATGTTAAGCATTCTGCTTTATTAAGCCCATTTCTTGCATTAGCTTTAGTCTAGGATCATATTTAACCAGATAAATATCATTTTGACTTCAGTTATAGCTACCAGAGTTATAATCTATGCTTACCTCACAAAGCCCAATACCATTCTTGGTAGAATCCCTTGGATTTCTTTAAATTCTCCCACTGATTTGCAGCTGCTCCTCTGGTTATTCTCCATTTCTGGTTCGACCCACAAACGCAAGAATTGAACAAACGTTTCTTCATTTCTTCATTTTACTGCCGCTGCAAAGTTCCCCAAATCTCCTTTCATTTCTTTTGGTTGAATAGAAAAAGGAAAGGGAAATTGTTAAGGTTGCAAAGCTTCTCTCGACTGAAGAAAAACAAAGAAGTCATAATGTGGTAAATGGCATGAAATAGGTTTTTAATTTAACCGTAACCATGGGCTGATTTTGTTGGTGGAATCTGCGTATGCCACCTCATGAATCTCCAGCTAGTGGCTTTGGAAAAAGCAGCTCACTAACTAAAAGTTTTGGGTTTGCCATGCAAACCTTTTAACTTTCAAATTATTCAATCAAGTCACTAGTAACCAAGGACTGTTATTCAAAATATAATCAAGCAAGGATGGGATGTTAAAAATGATGAGCTGGGAAGGCAAATAGTAAAATACATTGTATCCTACCAGAATTTGAAATTTGATATTACTACAGCAATTTGCAATGTTTGAACCATACCAAAATACCAAAGACAAGTAAGACAAATGCATGGTACCGCCTCTTCCCACAACCATACCTTCTCAAAATACCCAATTCACCAACAACACATAACGCACTCCCAAGGGATAACAGATGAGCAGATACTATATTTGCAATGTTTTTGGATTTTTTGTAGAGCAACTAAGACTACTAGCTACATATGATACCACGATGGGATCACAGATGAGCAGGAAGCATAATGCATATATCACCAAGGGAGACCCCTGCCCTTGGCTACTCTCCAATATGACCATCAATTCCTCAGAATGGCTGTTGGAGAACAGCCACCAAAAGCTAAAAAAGACTTCAAAGTCACTACAAGCATAAGATCAGGGACATGGCACTGATTTCCATATGGCTTACCACCACCATCACCGTCCAGATCTTCCTTCACTATCTTAGCATTAATAGGCCCATCCAGAATTTTGTCGACACTAAAATGGTTTGAAATACCAGTATCACAACTTGCATTCAGAGCTTTCCCTACAAGATTAGAATTAGCCATTCCCTTAGACACCAAGTTTAAGCTCTCAACCTTATCAATCATCATCAAATTCAGAACCATCTCCAAATTTCCACAATCAAGTTCAAGTTTAGATTTCAACATTACACCCATGGTAGTGAAAGAAGACCTACACCCTTCAAGCAATTCACAGGCCTCCAAAATATCAACAGAACCCGTACCATTGCCATCATGCTCTAGATCCCCAATATGCACCTCCGATACTCTTGAGATTGAACTCAGCACGCACATCTGAAGACCAAATGGGTTGGCCATACGCCTTGGGCTGACAGCAATGACTGGGTTGTTCTCCATCTGCCATTGATTCCGATCAAACCCCCTTGGCAGCCCCAAAATTGCCCTGCCAAAACTTTATCTAGTGGAAGAAAAATCAAAGAAAAGAAACCTGCAGAATATTTCGGGTTCTTGAAAACGCAGGATCCCGGATCTAGGTGTTCATGAGATGAACCCGCGCTGTCACTCACCCTCCACTCGATGAGAACCCAGATCTGGGTTCTTGTAAGTTCTTGTTCTTACTCTTTCAATTTCTACCCTCGCTCGCAGAATACAGATTCATGGGATGACCTTGTGCGCGCCGCCGCCTACTCTCCACTCGGAGCACCGGCTCATGTGCAACTATGGAGGTACAATCGAGCTTCATCCCCATGACAAGGTGCTGTGCTACGTGGGCGGTGAGAACTGGATGGTTGTGGTGGACCCTAGCGTGCGAGTCTCGTCGGACAACTAGGGTCGCACATTGCGGAGGTTGAGGAGAGATCAGGTGGGCTGGTGAGGAGAGATCAGGTGGGCTGGTGAGGAGAGATTAGGTTAGGGAAGAAGGACGAGGAAGAAGGGATGGGAGGGTAATATTGGGATTTGCCATTAATATTATTAAGTTATTAGATGATTGAGGGGTGTTAAAGTAATTTCACTTAGCTTAAAAAAATGCCACGTATATTAAATAAAATACAATCTCACTCAGTTTCCACATAATATTCAACATTAAGCTTATGTTTGGATACAAATTAGTAAAAGGAAAGAAGGGGAAGGGAGGGGAAGGAAAGGGAGGAAAAGTGAAGGGAAGGAAAAGGTTGATATTAGTTTTGTTTGAATAGACAAAAACAAAAGAAAAGAAATGATAATATTTTTGTTTAATTAAATAATTTAATAAAAATAAAATAAAAAATAAAAATTTTAAAATTTATTAATTAAATAAATAATTAAAATAAAATATTTATATTTATTTATTTTATAAAAAATTTAAAACAAAAATAAATTAAATAATGAAATCTCTACTAATCCCTCCAAATTGGAGGGATTGAAAATGGAGGAGGAGAGGGGGCTCCGTCTCCCTTTGTCTCCCTCCCCTCCTTTTAAATTTTTTTTTCAAACAAGAAGAGGGGTTTTCACCTCCTCACTCTCCTCTCTCTCTTCCAACTTCTTCAATCCAAACAAAGTGTAAAAGAAATTGAATTTCTTAAGGAAAAGTTGTCAAAGGACAGAATTGGTATAAAAAAATGAATTTTAAGGATAATTTTGATATTTTATAAAGTTTGAAGATAGATTTGGTTAAAAAATAAAAGTTGAAGGACCAAATTGAGTATTTAATCTAGAAACTTAAGGGACCAATAATCGCAAACCATCCCCCCAATAGTAGTGAAAGAAGACCTACGCCCTTCAAGCAATTCACAAGCCTCCAAAAACAGAATCCGTACCATTGCCATCCTGCTCTAGATCGCCAATATGCAACTTAGCACGCACATCTGAAGACCAAATGGTTTGGCCATGCACCTTGGACTGACGGCAATGACTGGGTTGTTCTCCATCTGCCATTGATTCCGATCAAACCACCTTAGCGGTCCCAAAATTGCCCCACCAAAACTTTATCTAGTGGAAGAAAAATCAAAGAAAAGAAACCTGCAGAATATTTCGGGTTTTAGGTGTTCGGGAGTGGATAAACGAAAACAAAGAAAAAAACAAAGGAAGGTAGAAGAAAACGATAGTAAAACGACAAACTTAAGTGCACTTCGTTTTATTTAATATGATCCCCGAATTTCAACTTTTCTTATTACTCCTTAGTCCCTAGTTTTGGTAAAGTTACACTTAAGTCTTAGATTTTTAATTTCATGTATTTCAGTTCTTTTTTACACAGTAATATTTAAAATATGATAAAATCACATTCAACTTGTCCAAATATCAAAAAAATTAAAGCTAAAAAGTATTAAATTTAAATATATAAAATTCATCTAAATAAAGTGAAAAATTAAGTTTTTGATATCCACTTTAGATTCGTTTAAAAAAAAAAAAGAAACGACAGTTTTTGCTTGCATGTAACTCATATATATACATATATATGTATAAATATAAAATAGCAACAATATGATAATGAAAAGGGTAAAAAGGAGATGTTTGCCTTTTTTTCCCTTGTTATACACTTGTAATGATTGAAATAATGCTCAAAGTTATTATTAATTTATGATATTTACACGACTACTTTTGCTACATATTTGCAAGTCATATGCACATCATTTGCAACTTCATCATTTTGGTTATAACACTTAATAAGATATCACATTGGATATGAATGAGTTTTTCAGGACAATTGGATATTAAATATTGAATTTTATTCCTTGATGATATGAATTTTTTATATTTTAATTTATTACTTTAGGCTTGATTTTATCATATTTGAATGTGCTGAATGTGAATTTATTGGAAGTTAAATGATTTTTATTATTTGTGCAAAAAAGATTCTGAGACTTAAATGCAATTCTTTCAAAAGTGTAGGGACTAAATTTGTAATAAAAAATTAAAATTAGAGACAAATTGAATATATTGAAAATTTGAGGATTAAGGTACATAGAAAGTTAGGGGACCAATAATCGCAACCCCCGCACAAACACAAAAAACCTCCCTTGGCTCAAATTTCATCAATTTCATTTCTTTTATATTAACTTTTGTTGATTACGGCATTAGTTGGGTTTCTATACTCATCACATGGGTTGGCTTCTTTCTATGGTCCAAAATTTTTTAAAAATTCAAAACATAAAATACAATTGTCGCTCATTTTTATTTTGAAAATGAAACTTTTATAAATCTAAAACTTAAAATCAGAAATGTAATTTTTAACGACTTGTCCTGAACTTAAAATTTGTTATTTTTTTCCCTTTTTTTTTTTGGTGAAATAAAACATTAGTTTGAAATTGAAAAATAAAAAGATTTCCTTACAAAATGATGCATGAAAATTAAGGGAAGGACAGGGCAAGGGAGGGGAGAAAATATCTTTAGTTTAATGAAAATTAAAAGAAATGAAAAGGAAAGATAATTGTGCACTGTTGGTCAAAGCTCTTGGGGACTTAAAGCTTAATGAGCTCCCTCCCACCCGTCACTTGTAAAACCCTACTTCTTCCTGTAAAACTCCATCCTGTAGTTTTCTCTGTTCCTCACGCCTCTCCATGTCGAATCTCAATTGAATCTAAGCTCCTATCATGCTGATCTACGCTTATGAATTGACCTTGATCATTGCTGCCCTCCTTGCAGCAAATTTTTTGCCCGGTAGGATTTTTTTATTTTATTTTTTATTTTTTGGATAAAAGGTGAATTTATTTATCCAGTATCTGTATATGGAGATGTCTAAAGTTGGGGTAGGATTGTGTTTGTTGGGAGTGTGAGTGAGTTGGCAAGTGGGTTTTACTGGAAGGTTTGTGAAGGGTTGAGAGTGAGTTTTTGGAATGATGTCTGGATAGGGGATCATGAGTTTCAGTTCTTGTATCCTGGCCTGTTTGCTTTGTACGAGGAAAGGAGGCTAGGGTGACGGAGATAGGAATGTTGAGGAATGGGGATCGAGAGTGGAGGTTGGAATGGAGGTGGGGAGGCTAGGGCCTGAATGGGATTTAGGAGGAGTTTGTGAGCAAGGTAGATGGGGTTGGTTTGAAGGAAGATACTGAAGATGTGTGTTGGTGGAAGTTTGATGGGGGTGCTATCAATATGACAAAACAAGCTTATGAAGAGATGATGAGAAAGGAGAGGGTGATTGAGAAAGAATCTACTGATTAGATTGCTGAAAATTTGTTGGGTTAATTTGGTGTGGAGGATGCTATGTGTATCGTTTGTAAGGAAGAAATAGAATGCATTGATCATGCTGTGGTGAAGTGCAAGAAGATTAAGAGGATATGGATGGTTGTGTGTGGGTAGTGGAGGGTGGATTTTGTGTTTACCTAATTCGGTTAGGGAAATTATGTTTGCAGATTGTGTATGGGAAGCGTGGGAAAAAGTAAAGAGGTATGTTAGCTTTGGTGTTTTTGGTGGTCTTCTGGTATGTTTGGTTGTGGAGGAATGGTCAAATATTTCAGGAAGTGCACAGATGCAATTGATGGATTGAATTGATGCAAATGAAGTCTTTTTACTTGGTTCAAAAGGAGAGCAAAAGGATGTAGCACTCCATTTCAGGAATGGTGTGACAGCCCATGAAGTTGTGTTCAGCATGGTTGGAGGGGAGGCATTGGTAGGTATAGGGTGGGCATTGATGAGAATTTTTTTTTCCCAATAATATCCTTTCCGATTTATTATATAAATCTTTGTCTTCTCTTTTTCATAATTCGGCATATCAGAGCATTGATGAGAGAACTCAACATACTTCCACTTCTAATATGTTTCATGGTTCCTCTTTTTAGAGATGTATTTAGAATCCATATTAGTATTTTAATACAAGTACGTTGGTTTTCTGTCTTTTGCAGTGTTTACTGTCAACAATGAAATGGAAACGCAAGGGCAAGCAAACCCTCCAGGTTCCTCTTTTGCCTGCTATTTACCTGACTCATGATTGATTTTTTGAATGTAGTATTGTTCTGTTGAGTTTGTTTTGTTGTTTTCGTTTTGCACTGTTTTCTTGAAGATTTGGAATTTGATTTTGTGTAGTGTGTATCATGTTATGTAAAATCTAGTTGTTTATTTAATTTATAAAAGGAGAAGGATGTCAAATTGAAATTAAGTTAATCCTTCCCTTTCCTCTGTGTTGGTTACCCACACAAAAAATCACATAATCCTTTTGTTTCCTTCCCTTATCTTTATCATCCCCTTCCCTTTCCTTTTAGTTGGGTCAATGTCTTAATTTAATTTAACTGGATGAAAATTCCCTCTCCCCACCCTTTGTCTGGGAGGGATATTAATTTACAGTCTCTCCATAATCCCTTTGTTTCACAAGTCAATTGCAGAATTAGAATTTACAGAGAAGAATTAAGAATTAGGATAGATGGTGGGGAATCTGCAAAAACAAAATTGAACAAAGCTCAAACTGAATACTCTCTTAGGAATTAGACCGAACACCTCCTTGGCATAATTGAAATTGAGCAAATGAAAAGAAATTGACAGACGGTAGAAAAGACAAGTCAATTGGAAGAGAAAGTGGGTTTTACTGGAAGGTTTGTGAAGGGTTGAGAGCAAAGATGTCAATCCCGTACCGTACCGGCCGGTATGACCGGTACGTACCGGTTTTGACACTTGACCGAAACGGTACAACATCAAATTCCGTTTCGGTCAAAATCCGGTCGTTCCGGTCAAAATCCGGTGTACCGGCCGGAATTTTGTGTACCGGCCGGCACTCCGAAATATGACCGGTACACCTAAGTTCAAACAAAAAAAAAAAACAATGGATTTCCGATTGCAGATCTGTTTCTGTTCTCCTTCTTCATCACGAACGACGAACGCCACACGCCGCACGCCGCACGCCGCAAACGTCTTCCTCAACCTGTCGCCGGTGGGTTGGAGATTCAGTGAATGCTTCGCTTCCGTGATTACCGGCTAGATCTGCTTCATCTTCTCCCCATTTCTGG